TGACAGCATCTACAATGATGATAACCATACAGGTGGTAAGAAAAGCATATAGAATGGGGGCAGGGTTCTGTTCTTATCTCCACAGGAAAACACTGATTTTTGAAAAGTTCAAGGGACCCTGGATATCTGAATACTGACAGATGGAAAATAATGGCCCAATAAGGACTATCAAGAAAACTGAATAGGTTCTGTAAGTAAAATATACTAAATCATATTTCTAAATTTATAGAGCTGGTTTTAGAGTTGGACTCTGGCTCAGTCCCTCTCTAATTCCAAGCCTGTTTTTAAAAGAAAAACCCAGAGTTTCTGGAGTCTCTGTCTCATATCAAGAGCCGTGATATGGGACAGAAAGGAATATGAGTTTAGAAAACATCTTTACTTTTCTTCATATCTATCATACCTTTCATTAAATATGTCTATCATGTCTTTTATTGAATATATGTATGTCTGTATATGTCTATATGATTAATATATGATTATATATTATTATAATCATATAATATATGATATTAATATATGATTAATATATATGATTAATGTTTAAGTTTTCCACAATGAACAATAAGTTTTTCCTGCAGTGACATTTGAAGTTTCCAGGAAGAAGATGGGGCCCCATAACAACAACTCCACCTGGTTGATATGACATCATGATACTGATAGTGCTACTACAAGACCTGTTTTGAGTACCAGCTGCACAAGACGATGCCAACGTGGTTAGCTGAAATGATGCACATCTTGTACAACATTCTGGCCAGTCCTCCACAAAATACTCAGAGACTATTTGCAATTTTAAAAGACATTGATCTTGAAATTTAACCATCATTTTGCTTTCACAGGATCCCCCAGAAAGAACGTCGCCCCCATGACAGCTGGAAGTAATTCTAGAGAACGACGTCCCCTCTCCCAGTAAAGTTTGTCCTTGGGTTTAGGGACATCATTTAGGGGTTGGTTATAATTAGTATAGGGTTGAGGGTTGGGGGAGGAATTTTATAAGCGCAGGAATCCAAAAAAAAAAAAAGAGGGATAATTGGATTATGGGATAATAGCTTTGTACTTGTGAGTTATTGTTTTTAGACAAATATATTGGTATTGATTCTTATATATTGATACAAACTTAAATTATGTTGACTATTTTAGGCATGCATGCTTCTACCTCTGTTTAAAATATTTTTATGTATTGACATATATATATTGTATTGATATATGTATATTTTACCATATTGCATTGTACACTTCTACCTCTGATTAAGATACTTATATATTGTTTATGTATTGATATATATATTTACCATATTGCAATGTATACTTGCACATTGTTTATACTTGGAGGTCATATTGTCCCCATTTATTGCACAGTTGTTTACTATTTCAGTCTTTAAGTTAGATAGATATTGAGAATAATATAGATCAATAGTCATCTAAGTTTGTCATTTATAATTAGACTAATCAGGTTCTTTAGATACATAGACATTATATTCAGTATAGATAGATAATCTTCAACCTCTTCAAAGAGCTGTAGAAAATGGCCTTTAATCTAACTCAGAGTTCTGTGGTAGGGAGACACAATCGCTCCTGGCAACACTGATCTATTCCCGAGAGAATGTTGAGCACCAAAGACACTCCACCTGGAGCCTTTCTTCTTGGCAGAACTGGCCTTTGGGTAAAGAAATGCCCATACCTCAACTACTGACAGAGTTACAGAGTATCCGTAAATGGATAAAACAGGACTGTCATATCCTGCCAAGACAGGATAAGATAGTTTTGAAAAGTTCCTTGCCTTTGAAAATGGTATGTCAGTTACGTTAGGCCTTAGCCAAAGTTGGTTGCTTCAACGCTGCAAACGTGATTTTGGGTGTTTGCCCAGGTAGCCAATTGTCTATGTGATTTGTTACATGTTCTGGAAGTTTGATTGCACTTCCTAATTACTCAGGTAACATTATTTCCCTTCTCAGATCTTTGATGGGATTGAGGATTATATAAACGTAGTTACTTTCTTTTCATGACATGGCCAAGTTATTTCTTATACAAGACTTAAGCTAGTTAGAATAGGATATTTGTATTTATTGTATATAATTGTGTAGGTTTGTACTTGCTGTATATAATTTCGTAGTAGGCTTAGAACTCTCTTACTTAAACAAAAGGGGGAGGTGTTGTGGGAGTAACTTCCGCTGCCTCAACCAATAGTCACTGAAATACGAGCCCACAGTGCAGCGGGGAGCGACTTCCGCTCCGTCAGCCAATAGCTGCTGAAATACCAGCCCACTGGGGCGTGGTATATTTCTCTTTTAAAAAGAGAAGCATATCCGGAATAGGCCCTCTTGGTTCCGGCTCTTGGTTCCGGTGCTTGCTCCTGGCTCCTGCTCCCGGCTCCTGCGACTAGGCTCCCTTCCTGACGGTTTATGGTGTATGTAAGTTTTACCCCTCAAAATAAATAACCCCTTAAAACATAACTGGTGTGGGATTGATTCGCCGATATTATTTCACTCATTAGACTCTGATGAATACAATTAACACATCTAACATCTAAAATCATGCTAAATTTAGCACATCAGCAAACCACAGAATGGAAAAATCTATGGCCTTCATTACTTTACTAATACTGAACACAATGACTCTGGAAGAAAATAAACACTCCTTTTTGTTCATAAATACTGAATTCTTCTTTTGTAAAATGAAAAGGTCATAGAGATGTGTTACACAACGATTTCTATTTAACAGTATAAAATAGAATAATAAAATCTTTCAGAAAATAATTATTTTATGTGGTTTTGATCATGGTAAAAAGCTAAGAAAGAAATGAAACTGAAACTTCTCAAATGCTACCTTAAACAAACTGTCTCTCTTAGACATGGAAGCAGATTTATCAAGACACAGATGATAAAGTAAGGTAACTGTCAAAAATATTCACTGAGCCAGGATGAAATGACGAAGAAGCACAACCCAGTCAGAAAACATCCCTGCCATAAACAAAACAGTGGCACTATTTAGCCAGGCAAATAAAAGCCCACACAATTTTATTGGTAATAGACAAATACATAACTCAGTCTTATTTTAATTTCACCTTACACTGTCCTGCAACATACAGTATTTATAATATACATTTAAAATATAAATACAGGTAAAATACAGGTAAAGCTACTAATATTAAGGAATATAAAGGAACCTACTGTAAAAACAATCAAAAAGAGTCAAGTGGCTTTAATATGCAGACAGTTCTGGGAAAGCTGCCTGGGTCATAATGCTAGACAAATGTTGGTTGTTTGTATTATTGTAGAGTCTGTAAATTTCATTTAAAAGCAAATTGGGCTTTATCAGTTTTTAAAACAGCTAGGGTGGTCCCCATAGTAGCTCAAGTGGAGCCTGTGTTCCTGAATGTGACAAAAAAAGGGCAGGGGAGGGGCAGGTGAGCTGGCCCTAGCCCCTCTCGACCTCTGTGACTCAGCCTCCACTTGATTCCTTCTGATCCTTCAGTGTCTCTGAGTTCTCAGCTGCTCCTATTCTGAGCTCTGGAACATTCTGCTTCTAGTCTCTGCTCTTCCCCCACAGTTCTCGCACAGTCTTCAGGTCTAGGTGTGACTATTGCCTTTTCACACTGTATGTGTGGTGCCTGCCTGTGATACCAACACCCAGAAGGCTGAGGCAGGAGGATCACAGGATGGAGGACAGCCTGGGCTGTATAACAAGTACCCGTCTCAAGAATAAGACCTAATTCATGTACTTCTTTGTATGGTGGTGTAAAGTCCCTTCCTAAGGCACATTTTTGGCCTTCTCTACATTTGGTTATTATTAAGTAAGTAGGTGAACAGACTTCTGAAAGGAGTCTGTAACTCAACAAATGGGTAGGTAAACACACAAAACAGACATTCTACCGCTTAATGTTCATTTGGAAAAATTACAGAATACAGTAATTCTAGGAACAATATGATGTTTCAAAAATATATCTCCTAATTAAGAAAATTTTATATTGCTTTAGGAAAGTAAAATGTTGAGGAAATGGCAAGTCTTGAGAGACAGCTCCTTCTACTTCCAACCATATGATCAATAAGGAATAAGGGATCTATACAGAAGCGCATTGTGGATGTGAATCTACCACTCAAGCTGGTATACATTCTACATCACATTTATAAGAAAGATGGAAAATTTGACTTCTCTTTATTATAGATCTCTGTGCCATGAGTGGGTAGGCTCTCCTCTTGAACACTTTATAAAGAGAGCAGAACAATTAAAAATGTGTATTATGCTTAGAAATAAGTTGTTACAATTAATTTTAACTTGGGAGCCATCTGAGAATGAATTAGCATTTGAAAACACCATCCAAAAATGTGTTAGTTTCTTTCCTTGTGGCTTTGTTACTTTTCTATTTCTGTGAAGAGGCACCATGACCAAGGCAACTTATGTAAGGAAGCATTTACTTTGGGACTTGCTTAAGGTTCATAGAATGAGTCTGTGACCATCATGGCGGGGAGCGTGGCAGCAGCAGGAGGCAGGCGTGGTGCTGGGGGCAGTGGGCGAGAGCTTGCTTCTGACCCACAAGCAGGCGGCAGAGGGAGAGAGACTGGGCTGCCTGTGGGCTTTGGAAACCTCCTCCCAAAGGCCATGCCTCCTATTCTTTCCCAAACAGTTCCACTGGCTGGGAACCAAACACTGAATATATGAGCTTACAGGGGACTCCCTCATTCAAACCACCACAACTTGCCTGGGTAATTGCATGAAGTAAACACAAACAGAGTCTTTATTACATGTTCTTGAGTCTTAGAGAAGCTTGGTCCCATTTCTGAATTTCAGCGGGAGCCACCCATTGTCACAGGTACCGATCCAGGTATACTCTGAAAATTCTGACCAGCTTTCCGGGCACCTTAACCCTTTCTCCTTCTTAAGTGACAAAGAAATAAAAGAAACACCAGCTAATGGTGAATCCCTTGAGTAAAATCTAGCTTTCTAGTGTTGGGAGTAGTGCCCCAAATGCAACTTTTTCAGCTCTGAGTGTATTAAATACTGTCATGGCCCTTATGATCTCTCATGCGATCCAAGTTACTGATGCTCTTACCTTTGCACTTTTAGCCAAAGCCTCTGTTTACCTCCCTGTTCTGGGGATACTCGACCTTTCTTGGAATAAGTGTGTTGGTGGTAACCTGGAGCTGCTTCTTCAAACACTGAAGCTGTCACGGTCGCTCCGAGTGCTGAGGCTAAGCAGCTATGCCCTGGTGACAGAGGACTTGGTTCTTCTTGGTTTGTATTAACCCTTCCAGGGCAGTCTTGGCACAAAGCATGGACCAGGTGGTGAACCTGGGTCTGACAGACCAGGAGATAGACCCGAGGCTGCAGCAACTTCCTCTTTCCCAGTATCTGCTTAAGAGGAAGCTAATGCAATCCTGAAGCTGAATGACAGGAGAGTGTTTCTGGAGAGGAGATGGTGCTGAGGGTGGAGGGGTGGCTCCTGCCAGGGAAATTCTGTTTCGACCTCCCCCAACAGAGTCCATCACCTACAGTTTACTTACACGAACTGTGCCCTAGCTACTTGCACTATTCATTTTTCCCAAAAATGGCCCCAAAAAGTTTTGAGGTCTTATTTAAGTAAGAAAGTAGGGTCTGAGGATGTATCTCAGTAGTAGAGTGCTTGCCTAGCATGCACTGGGCCCTGGACTCAATCCCTGACATCTGTAGATGCATAGATACACATACTCATATACAAATAAAAATTTATCTTTTAAAGCTAAGTACAGCCTCCATAGCTACCTGCAGTTAGGTATAGATGCATAGATATACATACTCATATACAAATACAAATATATCTTTTAAAGTTAAGTACATAAAATAAATAAAACCATGCCAGGCGGTGGTGATGCACACCTTTAATCCCAGCACTCAGGAAGCAGAGGCAGATTGACCTCTGGGTTCAAGCCAAGTCTGGTCTACAGAGTGAATTCCAGGTCAGCCAGGGCGACACAGAGACAGACCCTGTCTCAGAAAAAAGAAAAGAAAGAAGAAAGAAAGAGCTTGTCATCATAATTGAAGTATGAATATCAATTATTATAGATGTTAACTCACTGAAGACTTTGAGTGGAAGTTCATTCTTTCTGTGTCAAGAATGACACGAGAAGACCTAAGGGGGTACTGTAGCATAAATCTGACACTTCCCCTAGGGCAGTGTAGAATATGGAAAGAGAATTAAATCAGAGTCCAGGCAGTGTAACTTAGCACAATATCTTCTCAAATCACAATACAGGTGTGCTCTATCATCTGGGAGCCATGGAAAGCTTGGTCTCCCATCTAGCTTCAGTAACCCCATCACTGCTACAAGCTCCCTGATTTCTGGAGCCACAGGTATCCTTGAGACAAGCTAACCAAGACAGAGGGGGAGTAACCCGGAGTCCCAAGAAGGGTTTCCTCCTGTGACATCAGTTTCACGATGACCGGAAAGCACCTAGGGTGGAGGACAGAATCCTGGAGGCCATCAACACCGACTGTCGGAAGGATGCCTCACACATCACTGATCTGTGGGTTGGATGAAAGACTCCCAAGACCCTTTGTTCTGAGATTCTGTATCACTTATCTCTTCTCTCTAACCCTTTCCTGGGTTCAGCTGAAGAGGGCTAAAGGTGCCATTTACTTTCTCCTGCGGAACCTGTCATCTTCTCTTAGGCCACAACATGATAAAAGCTATTCAAAGAGAAAGCTGTCTTATGACTAGAAGTCTTTAAAGTGAACAGGAAATTATCCAGTATATTTTGTACATTAGATTTACTGTTAGGGGTGATGATACAGCTCCCTAGTGGAGTACTTACCTGACATGTATGAGATCCTGGGCTCAATTCTCAGCACTCCAAAATAATTGTTGCATGAACAGTGATAGAATTAATAACCAATGAATAACAAACCAGAATTTAACAGCAAGAAGACTGTGTACCAAAGGTCCTTAATCAAAGCCAGTAAGCCATCATTCTGTGCATTTAATTAGGAAGTCTGCAATGGAGCAAAGAACATTAATACAAGAAGGAAATTCTTCCGGTTGGGGCTTAGAAAAGGAGGGGTCTATTTTTGAGCTGTATGTGGGATACAAGGAGATAAAGATTCTTATTAAGATACTTTCTGATGCCCCAAAAGAAACCACCAGCTAAAAGTAAGTCATCATCAATTGCTACTAACCTCAGAAGAGGTGCGTTACTGGAAGGGGGACAGCAAAGGAGAGAGCACCCTTCTCGTTTAGAGTGACTTCGTTTTCCAGCCTCAGCCATGCGGACAAGCCATTTAGCCGAGCTGCAGAAGCTTGACCTGAGTTACAACGACAGTGTCTGTGACACAGGATAGGCCATCTTCTGCCCAAACCTCTGCTTCCTCAAACAGCTAACAGAACTAGACATCAGCCTTCGGCCATCAAGTTCCTGGGGCTGTGGCCAACGGTTTAGGCACTTACTGTGTGCTGTGATCAAACTTCCTGTGGTCCCTGAGATAGAGGTGAGAAGATGGACTGTCCCAGCCTCGCATGAGGAAGAATTAGAATGCTTCACCCACACCCACAGAAGGGGCATTCAACTTGACCATGGTGGGTCTCAGGGGGCTGTGTCCTAAGTAATGAGCAGTTTTTCTAATGGAGGAAAAGAATGTGAATGATCTCCACCATCAGCAGAGCTCAGGCTGTGTTGTTTAATAGCATTTATGTTTGGAGATTTTTGTGATCATCGTATATAACAGTGGTTCTCAACCTGTGGGTTATGACCCCTTTGGGGTCCAGTGACCCTTCCACAGGAGCTGCATATCAGATATTTACATTATGACTCATAAAAGTAGCAACAAAATAATTTTATGGCTGGGGGTCACCACAACATGAAGAGCTGTATTAAAGGGTTGCAGCATTAGGAAGGGTGAGAACCACTGGTATATAATAATCATATATGGGACTGGGAAGATAGCTCAGTCTAGAAAGCATAAAGATCTGAGTTTGATCTAGTTAGGACACATGAAAACACAGGGAGTCATGATGATGTAATCAGGAACTGTGGAAACAAAGACAGGAAGATACCTGAGGCTCCCCGGCTGAGTTCCAAGCCTAGAGAGAGACCATGCCTCAAAAAACCAGGTGGGTGCTGCCCCAAAGAAACAGTATCAGAGGTTGCTGTCTGCTTTGCACACACATAAGCATACCTGTATAATCACATACATACTCGCCTGTATAAGCAAGCAAACATGCCTGTACACACACACACATACACACACACACACCTATACATACACATATACACACAAAATAATATTAACAATGTGAGCATGTCTTTAGTCTGTCTTACAAAGTGAATATGATGTTTTAGAGCAGAGTTTCATTTGTTTGGGATATATAATTAATCCATATACTGTTTAGGAAGTCCACCAAAAGTGTTCATGGGCGGTGGTGGCTCATGCTTTTAATTCCAGCACTCAGGAGGCAGAGAGGCAGGCGGATCTCTGTGATATTGAGGCCAGCCTGGTCTACAAGAGTTAGTTCCAGGACAGGCTCCAAAGTTACAGAGAAACCCTGTCTTTGGAAAAAAAAAACAAAAACAAAAAAACAACAACAACAAAGAAACAAAAAAAATCAAAAAAAGTGTTCATATTTTGGTAATGCAACTGGTTATCTTTCTAAGATTTTCCTGCCTTATTTCTCTATGTTACATGTGTATCACAAAGGTATATATGTGTGTACACACACACTTACATGTGTACAGTTCTACTGTGAAGAGCACTCACTGTAACATTCTCATATTATCTTTTTTGCATGTGTATGTTTGCATGTGGTGTGTGTACGTGTGTTCACATGTGTGTTAGTGTATGTGTGTCTGAGTTTGACTGTCCATGGGGGCCCAAAGATGCTATCAGGTGGTTTCTCTTCCTCTCCATTTCACTTCCTGAGGCAGCATCTCTCACTGTTTGATGAATTCAGCCAGTAGGAAGTGCTTAACCCACAGAGCCTTCTCCCCAGCACTCATGCTGTGTCAGCTTTTATTGTAAACTAAGATTTGTCCTGTAATAAGCTGGGGACAGGGAGATAGGGGCATGTCTTTAATCCCAGCACTTGGGAGGCAGAAGCAGGTGGCTCTCTGTGAGTTTGATGCCAGCCTGGTTTACAGATTTGAGTGTCAGGACTCAAATTTGAGAGATAGGACTATTTCACAAATAAACCCTGTCTCAAATAAACAAACAAACAAACAAAAGATTTGTTCTGCTATATTTTTCTTAGATATAAACTTTCCACAGTAACAATGGTCACCAGCATATGCGAGTTGTTTTCGGTTTTGTTCTTGCTTTTTTTTTTATAGCCAATAATTTAAAAGACAGTTTCAAGATCACATTTTCTAAAATAAATTAAAATCTTTTATGGTCAGAAAAAACAAATTCCAATAGACATTTCCTCTGGGCAGGTCTTGCTTTTTGTTTGTTAACTGAAAGTTTTTGTGTTACACTAAGCGATTTTTAAATGTTTCATTTCCTAGAGGGTGAGTCACTGAATAGCAAGGATGTCTGAGATACATTTGTATTCTGATACATGCAAGTCAACTTGGGTTTTTTTTCCTACTTGAAACTATATGAATAAACAGAGACATAACCATTGTTAAAAAATGTACAAATGTAAAATCTGTGTGATGGCTCAGCCTGTAAAAGTGCTTGCTGCCAAGCCTGACCATCCTAGTTCAATCCCCAGGACATATGTGATGAAGTAAGTTGTCCTCAGGTCTCCATACATGTACCATGGCATGCACATGCCTCCCCAAAATAATAAATTTTAAAATGTGATAAAAATTACATTTAAGATCAGTACTGTTCAAAAGTAAAGTCATTAATATGAGCTGGCTTTGAGAGCATTAGAAGGAGGTGCTGTGTGGGTTCCTTCCTCTTGGGTATCCCCCAAGAATTCATAAGCATCTGTGGTTATACAAAGACCTATGTGTGAATATTCACTGAAGTTTTATTCATAATGAATAACCATTCAATAATCTGTATGTGCTTAAACAGATTGCAAGCCTAGGCCACATGTCCAGCAGCAAAGGACACATAGAAACTGACCACACCCACTGGTCGGTTAAGCTTCCAGTTAAGCAAAAGACAATGCTTGCTTTACAAAGTCAGTCCCACGGGGTTCTCTAGCCCTGGGCCAGAGACACAGCAACAGCAACAGCTCCGCACCATGCCCTGTGGCTGTTGGTGGGCGCAAGAACTCAACCAAGTGCAGAGGCATCAGACAGTCGGACACCATTATAGTGAGCGAGCAGAGGGTAGGGAGGTGGAGGAGAAAGAGAGGTGGAGCCATTCAGGGGCTGGAGAGAGAGGTGAATCAAAAGAGGTGAGGGTGGTGAGGAAGACACTTCTGGAATATTCCTTTACGCTGAGTGAAAATGTGTCATTGGACTGGTTTAATAGAAAGCTGAATAGCCAATAGCTAGGCAGGAGGTAGAGGCGGGACTTCTGAACAGAGAGAGCTCTGGGTAGAAAAAAGGCAGAGTCACCAGCCAGCTGCAGAGGGAGCAAGTTAGGCAGGAGGAGAAATGAAAACTACTAGTCACATGGCAACACATATATTAATAAACATGGGTTAATTTATGCAGTACAAGCCTAAATTATAGGCCAAGCAATCATAATTAATAATTCTCTGTGTTGTTTTTTGTGAGTCAACAGCCCAAAGACAAATTTATTTATACACACTAATGTAAATGGCCTGCTGGTCACCCAAGTCCAAGGTGACATCTGGACCTGGGCTGCTGCCAAAGACCACATCTGAGTCCATGGACCTACTGCAACCAGGATTTGTATTGATGTCTGGTAGTTCATGGTGTCACCAAAGGCTACACAGATGCCCAGGGTCTAGGCCTCAACCTATGACCATGTTGGTGTCCGAGGGCTATGCCACTGCTAGGCCACGGCAATCTCAGTGCCAGCACTGTCACCTGGGGCCATGGTGTCATCTGGGCCAGGACTGCAGCAAGGGACATGTCTAGTCTGTGGTCTTATCACAACTGGAGTCTCCATTGATGCCTGTGGCCCATGTTGCCGTCAAGGGTCAAATGTTTCCCCTGGGTCTGGGCCATAACCTAGATAATATGGGTGCCTGGGGGCCATGCTGCTGCTGGGGCCATGCTGATCTGGGTGGCCTATGCTGTCACCTGGGGCCATGGTGTCATCCAGGCCAGGGCTGCTGCTGAGGGCCATGTCTGGGTTCATGCTCCTGCTGTGGCTGGGGTCTGTGTCGATGTCCATGGCCTGTGTTCCTATGTTACCATGCGGAGGCAGGCAGGAGAGCTGGACCCCACAATCAGGAAAGATGGCCCCACCCTTCACCATGGGTATGCACCTCACCTGGGCAGCACACTAGATCTGACCCTGTTTGGGGGGCACAAGTGAGCCAGCCCTGAGGGCAGGAGAACAGCAGAGCTGGCCCTGTCCCCCCTTGTCTGCCATCTGGTGGCATGGATGAGGGAAAGGTTATTGTTCTTTAAAAATAATATGATGATGGAATGCCCCGGGCGGCTCGCAGAGCAGCTGCTAGTCCGACAAGAATGGCTGTGGGTCCCTGCAAGATCTCCAGGGTGGCAGCGCCATGCGGCCGGGGGAGCCAGGCGGGCGGTTACGGCGGATAAAAGGCTCACAGGACATAGTATTATTTAAAGAAGAGAGAGACATGTATTGCTTAAAGAAGAGGAAAACAGAGAGACATAAGAAAGAGAGAGAAACAAAGACACATGTACACATGACACGAGACAAACCCAAGAAGGAGAAAGATGGTGATGGGGGAGGTCAAAAGTGGCTGGGGTGGGCGTGGTTAGTCCTTAAAGTGACTGCAAAGGAATAACAAAGGTGCCCCCACTTGCTACCCACAGCGGGCGTGAGAGCTGGCCCCCGGGTCATGAGAGTGGGAGAACTAACTCTGTCCCTCACCAGCTGCAACACACAGGAAACTGGACCCGGCACCTGCCAGGGCAGCACACTGGAGCTGATCCTGCTGGTGGTAGAACGAGGAGCCAGCCCTGAGGGTATGAGAGTAGGAGAATTGCCCCTGGCCCCGGTGGTGTGAATGAGGGTGACCGGAATCCGCGGACCGGAGAACAGGAGAACTGGCCCCACTCTTGCGTAGGCTGCATTGGGTGGGCTGGCCGAGAGCTCACCTGAGTGGTGATGGTGGGGGAGAGCTGGTGGGCTGACCAACCCAGCTACCACTCAGGACCAGAACCAGGGCTCTGAGTTAGCCCACCCCCACATTCACTCCATCTACGACCTGTTGGAGCATAAGAAGGGGATAAACCTAGAGATCCAAAACTGCAGGATCTGGTGGTGGAGCCGGGGCCAGAGACCTCAGACCAGACCAATGGCTCATGGCAATCAAGGCTTGGAAGTGAAGACGAAGGACTAACGGGTGAACTGCATGACACACTGTGGGAATTGCTACCCCGCGTTATATTTCCCTGCCCCCATTTGAGGTGCTTATCCGCAGAGAATCATAACTTCCCTCTGCTCCTGGAGTTGGAGGAGGAAGTTTGAGTGCTGGGGTCAGGTGACAGTCCCTACTGGGGACAGGTGAAGGTGGGGTGCCTGTGATCAGTCCTTGACTCCTACTGGGGTCAGGTGAGAGTCCCTCCTTGGGTCAGGTGACAGTCCCTTTGCAGCCCCCTCCCCATTTGGTGCCATGGTATAAATGCTAGCCCCAGCAGAACAATATACAAGCTGCTGTTTCACCTCAACCTCGTGCTCTGTGGATTTCATTCAACCTGGACACCCTCCGCCGAGACTCATGGTTCCAGACCGTGTTGGCGCGGTAACACACTCGGCCACACTACTGTGAACCGCAAGACACACTCAGTCACACTGCTGTGAACCGCACGACACACTCAGCCACACTGCTGTGAACTGCACGATACACTCGGCCACACTAAGGCCTCCACGACTGGATTCTTCCCCCTTCCCTTTTTTGTTTCATTTTGGTTTTTGTTCCTTTTGCTTTGTTTGTTTGCTTTGCTTGGTTTGGGGGTTTTCTTTTACATTTTGTTTTGTTTTGGGGGGGAGGTTGCAAGGGCGGGTAGAGGGTGAATTAGAAGCGGGGTGATGGGTAGGCTCAGATAAATGGTGTAAAATCTGCAGGGAATCAATAAAAGTTTGAAGAACTAAAAAAAAAAAAAAGTCAGTCCCGGAGCTGGTGAAATAAATAAAGGTGCTTGCCAGGAGGCCTGTTGACCTGCGTGAGATCACAAGACCCTCACATGGTGAACAGGGAGAACTGACTGTCTCAAAAGTTGTCCTGTGACCTCCTTCTATGTGCTGTGGCAGACTCATTCACGCACACATGCACACACACACATGCACACACACACACATGCACATGTATGCACACACACACACAGTAAATAAATACAATGAAAAGTTTTAGGGCAATTGCAGGCAGATATCATTTGGAGGGAAATGGAGGGTGAGTTAGGACTTGGTGGGAAGTGGCACTCTGACAGCCAGAAGATGCCACAGTGGAGACTTGTGAAGAGCAGTGTGTCTTTGACTCCAGCGTTTGTACAAAGCTATGCATGACACAAATGCATTGAGCTGCACCATGTACACAGTGCACACGTGCGCATGTAACTGCTGGAATCTGAGTAAGTGCTGTTGACTGAACCAGCATCAGTGTTCTGGCCTAATTTACCCTAGCATAGTGTACACTGTGGAAGGTTCTTGGACACATTGTCTATTTCTCTGGAACTTCTTGTAAATACGTGACTTCCCCAAATGCTTTAAAGTAGACAGAAGAATGCAAGGACCCCACATGCTCACCGCCCACTCCCGTGGTTGTCGCTAACAGCTGGCCCTGTCTGGTTTCATCTGAACCCATGTCCTCTTTCTCCTCTAGCATGCTATCTTAAAGCACTTACCAGGTGTTATGTCATGCTTCCCATCAACATTTCAGCAAAATTAAGAATCTTTTATTATTACAGATAACCTCAAGTTGGTGGATAATTTTCCTGTGGCTGTGTCTGGGCTCTAGACACGCGGCCTTCCTGCTCTGTTAACAATCTTCATTCATTCATTTCCGCAATTATTTTTTTATTTCCTTTTTGCGGGTTTTCCTTTGGCAGCAGCCTTTTTCCCTTTCTTATCTTTTGGAGAGTTTTTCCCTTTTCTTCGGGCTCTCAGTAGCTCTTCAAAAGCCCCACATCCTTTCCGCACCATGATTCCACGCCACCACGCCTGAATCTGAAAACAAGGTAGACCCGAACTCAGTGTTAGCTTGCCATGGTCCGACTGCAGCTTACATAAAGGGTTGGGGAGACACCATGGATTAGGACACTCGCTGTGCCGGTGCGAGAACCTGAGTTCAAATCCCCAGCACTTTATGTGTAGTACGCTTGTAACTCCAGCACTGTGCTGGAGAAGCAGGCAGATCCTCAGAGCTCACTGGCCAACTAGGCTAAAAGAAATGGTATCCTCCAGTTGGGTGAGAGCCCGTGTCTCAAGGCAATCAGGTAGAGAGGGCCTGTCAGAGACCAGCTTTGGCAAAAATACCACTTTCCAGGGTAGGGGAATAGGGATCCGAAAAATGGTAAGGAGGATGAAGAGGCAAGTGAAAGTAAGAAAACAGAAAATATAGGAGGGAGGACTCCCAGGAGGGGGTTCCAGTGAATGGTGAAATCCCTGCATTTAACTTCCCACATACTTCTATACCCCAGAGGGAAGAAGACAAAAGACTGCTTTAACATGATCCACAGGGCAACTAGAGGAGCTACTTGCTTCACTACTTTGAGATATCAAGTCATTAGCATTCTTTTGTTTACAGTGAACCCACCCTGGACCAAGTATCCTAAGGGCAGTCACTCCCAAGGTCAAACCTCCTATTTCAATAGAAGGAGCTTGAATTTCCTGACCATTGGTCAGGGTGGAGCAGGCCCTCTTAAGGTCAAAAGAACCAAGTAACCACGCCCTAGGTCAGGACACGTAACCCTGGTTGTCAACAATTTTGAGCAACCTCAAACTCTCTGACCTTCAGACAAGGTGAAAATAGGTAACATTTTTGGGCCTCCACAGGGCCAGGGACTCTGAAGGCCGTGTGCAGTGGTGGGAGGGTCGCTAAGTGTATGACAGGGGCTTGAGGTAGAGTTTGGCTGACCTAAGCATGCGTAAAGCCCTAGGTCTGAGACACAACGCCACGTAAATTGTTTTGGTGGCCATGCTTGAAATCACAGCTCCTGGGGGATAGAAATATGAGGGTCAAAAGTTCAAGGATATCCCCGGCTACACACTGAGTCCCAGGCTGGCCTGGGCTACATGAGACCCTGCCTTAAAATAAATAAGGAAATGTCTGACTTCACAAATGCTGAGAGCCATAGGGAATGGCAGCACAGAGTATGGAGAGTTGAGACCTCGAGTGTGCCCTCTGCTCATTCTTGTTGAAGGAGATAAAAGCAGCCCCCATGGCTCCCCAGACCCTGCTGCTGCCCACCTACTTGAGAGCCCCTGTCCTCTCGCGGGACACTCCGCTCAGACCCTCCAATGATTGGCTCCTTATTTCTCTCCAAACAAAAGCCAAAGTCCTCACCATAGCTTCAAGGCTCCATCTGACTTGGCTGTACCCTCTCATTCCTTAATTCTCTTATCTGCTCATTCCCTGGCATCTGCTCTGGACCCATGGGTCACTCTCTTGCTTGGATACACCAGGCACCATGCTAACCCAGGGCCTCTATCCGGTATTCAGGCGGCTTGCCCTCTCCAGAGCTTGCTCACTTATTGCTACAGACTGACCTATGTTCCCCCTTTATGTTGAAGACCTGCCTGTCCCCAGTGGAATGGATCACACTAGAACCCTAGAACCCAGCCAGGCTGGAGCCTGATGCCAAACTCCCCATCTCTTTAACTAGGAGAAAGTAAATCCGGCCCTTTAATCCATCCGTTCTGTGGTATCTGTTATTGCAGCCCAAGCCAGGACAGTCATCTTTGCAAAGATGACTGATCACCCAGGCAAATCAACACCCTCTCAGTCTACACATACATACACACATACTCTCTCTCTCTCTCTCAAACACACATGCACACACTCCCACACTCAAACACACATGCACACACTCCCACACACAAAAAAAAAATGGGAAAGAGAGAGTGGGGAGGGAGGTGAAGAAGAAGAAAGGAAGGAACAATGGGGTGCGAGAGACTCCTCAGGTATAGACAGCCGCTGCCAAGCTGGTGACCTGAGTTGGATCCCTAGGATCCACTTGCTGGGAAAAAAAAGAGAGAGAGAGAGAGAGAACATACCCCTGCAGATTCTTCTTTTAATTCTTTTTCCTTGATGTTGAGATTATAGTAAACACATCATTTCCCCCTTCTTTTTCCTCCCTCCAAACCCTCCTATATATCCCTTTTGCTCTTTTTCAAATTAATGGTCTATTTTTCACTAATTGTTGTGACATGCGTGCAAATATATATATATATATATATATATATATATATATATGGAGCTATTCCTAAATATAACCTGCTCAGTCTGTCTAATGTGACCTGTGTGTGTTCGGAGCTGACCGTTTGATATTAGACTGTTTCTCCCACTCTCTCTGACTCCATTCTTGAGCTGTGGCACCCATGTGCCTTCACACACATCCACCCGCCAACCCACCCTGAATAAATAAGGCTTAGCTTCTAGCAATCTCAGTTCCCTTTACCTTGATTTTTTCCCCCAAAATAACACTTATTTCTTCCTTTTCTTTCTTTATTTTTAAGGTAAGATCTCACTAGTTATCCCTGACTAACCTGGAGCTGACTGTGTAGCTGGCCTGGAACTATGTAGATTAAACTTGCCTGGGACTCAGAAATCCACTGGCCTCTGCCTCTCAAGAACTGAGGTGCGTGAACACTCTCGGAGGGAGGCAGAGGCAGGGGAGGGCAGGTCTCTGAGTTCAAGGCCAGTCTATAGAGAAAATCTATAAAAAGAAATCCTGTCTTAAAAAATTAAAAAAAAAAAACAAAAAGATACATGCAGAAAACTTTGTTTTGTTTTTCATGCTTACCGCAACCCTACCAACTCTTAAGCAATAAGCAGACAGAAATGAGTGTCTGTTTCCATCACTATGCATCTCCGGCACTAGAACATTGCCCGGGAGGGGGGTGTGTGTGTAAAAGAATTCACTAACAAGGGGACCAGGTCTTGTGGCAGAGGTTCCAGAAGGAAGCCCTGGGAAGAGGGTGCTTCAGAAGAGAGTGAGTGGATGAAGGCAGAGGCTATCGTCTTTTCCTGGAGGCATCAACTCTGGGCAGATGGAAGAACCTGAGGCAGGGACATGATTGGTCTTTGCAAGAACTCCCAGAATCCAGTTTGAGCATAGACCAAGAAAGAAGTGGAGGGATTAAGGGCTGACTCTTGGGAACAGTACTGCCCTCTAAAGGCACTTTGTGCATTTACAGGGCTTTTGTTGTCTTGAAGTTGTAGACTTGGGTCCTGGACCAAAAGAGGGTCATCAACTTCCTGAGTTTCGGCTTCTAGATGCACCCCTTCCCAAATTCAACCCAGGAAGGCAGTCTCCCATCCCCTCTTCCCTTCACAGTTACCCAGGTGACCAGGTGACGGCACCTTAGCAAGAACAGACACACCTCATGCCCTTGTGGCGTCTTGCCCAGGGCTCTAAAAATCTCTGAGATAAATAACCGGAACAACTCAAAGTACTCGGGTTGGCACTGGTGAGGAGGTGATTCAAGGACTGGGTCTGCCAGTGTTTCCCTCAGGCTATGTGGCTGCGCACTCTCCCTCAAGGAAAAACAAAGACCAGTGGGTGTGTCAGCTAAAGACAGTGTCAAAGGAGTTTGTAAATGGGTTCTGCATTATTATATAAAATGAATAACACAAGCCAGGCGGTGGTGGCGCACGCCTTTAATCCCAGCACTCGGGAGGCAGAGGCAGGTGGATCTCTGTGAGTTCGAGGCCAGCTTGGTCTACAAGAGCTAGTTCCAGGACAGGCTCCAAAGCTACGGAGAAACCCTGTCTCAAAAAATAAAAAAAATATAAAAAATTAATAATACAAACAAAAAGAGAAATCAGCTTCTTCTATTCTAATGTATTCATCTATGCCGACAGTGTCTCGGGGCTTCCATTGTTAAAATGTAGTAGAATCTATAATACAATCTGTCTCATTTTGTAACCAGTAGATGTTAAAGTAGTTAACATCTACTTAGTTTGTACAAACTAAGTGGGGGGATGGGAGGAGTATTTTTCATTTGTCTTTCTAAAATACTTTATCTGCCTAAAAATGATCAAAATTTACAATACTTGATTGTTTATATGATTTATAGTATGAATAAATATAATATAATATAGGATATTTTAAAAATTATGGCCACAGGAAAAATTTAGCTTAATTTATTATACTTTATTGTTTTTAATTGAGTATACATTTTACCCACTCCCCTTTAGCTTAATCTTTAAAACATCATTACGTTATTTATTGACTTTACAGGGACCGCATTCAGGTCCTCAGACGCAATGGCAATAACTTATCTCCTGAACTATCCCTCAATCCCAAATTTAAATTTTAAAATAAAAATTGTCTGAAAATATTTGTTGGTCAGAAATACAGAAGGACGGTCTATGAAAAACAAATAATCCATAGACCTGAAGGTGACGGGCAGGACTAAAGGGTTTGGTTATCATTAGCAACTTCCTTCATTCTGTCCCCAGCACAGACCATCAGTAGGAAAACAACCCTGTCCCTAGCATGAACCATCAACAGGAAAACAACCCCATCCTCAGCACTGACCATTGTAATGGTTTAAGTAAACCGCCGTGGTTCCCAGAGGGGCAGAGGGGTAGCAGTGGTCAGCTGGAAGTGGGACACAGGGGCAGCTGGGTCCCACCACCGGAGGCCTCTGTAAGTCTAGGCGGGTATAGGGCCCAGGAGGGTGGGAGGCAGCAGGTGAGAGACCTTGGTGGGCTGTTGGCTGGGCAGGTGGTCCCACAAGCAGGTGAGAGACAGAGACCTGATAGGCATGCCATGCAGAGAGAGGGTTTGGGTATAGTTTATTCAGTGGGTTATGGGTGGAAAGGGAACAGGAGAAGAGAGAGACAGAGAGAAGGGGGGAGGGGAGGAGAGGAGCCCAGGAAGAGAACACAGGCTGGAAGTGGAAGGAGGATCTGCTTGCCTAGGCAGGAGGAAGGGGAGTAGACAGGGCTTTTGCCTTAAAGGGACAGGACAGACCATTACAACCATCAACAGAAAAACAACTCTGTCCCCAACACTGACCATCAGAGGGAAAATAACCCCATTCCCATCACTGACCATCAGTAGGAAAACAACCACATTCCCAGAACTAACCATCAGCTAGAAAACACCCAAACCAAAATGTCCAAAAGAGAATTAAAATAAAACACGCACACTGTCTTGTGTAAGATTCTTGGGAAGGTGTAATCCATATTCAAGAAAGAAAAAACATAGCACAAACTTTCTACCTATGAAAAATAGGCTTATCCAAATTTTTATGAATAGATATTGATAATGGTATTGTAGTGGCATTGAGATTCCACTAGGGACTTTTAAAATAGTGAACTATATTTAAAATGTCAACCATATTTAAACATCAACATTTAAAACACTTTGGAAACTGAATTCTTTGTAATTATTTCAATTTTATGGCAAGAATATTTAGATATACATTTTTAAAATATGCAAGAAGAACACATGACCTTTCAAATTGCTTTTAGGAAATAACCAATAAAATAGCATTTTCATTCTTCTAGAACAGTCATTTTAAGTAGGTGTGCCTTGAAAAAATATTTGTACAAAAATGTATATAATTTTACTTCCCTTCATATTGCAGTTTAGGTATTGTTTTTGATTTATTAAAATTTAATGATGATTGCTTTAGTTTAATTTTGACAAAGAAAAGGAAGTATTACTATTTAGTATAAGTGGACAGCTGAATTGTGATAGGGAATTTGATTGACTCAGGAACTTGACTATTATTCCAGAAGGAACAAAGATGTGCCCATTTTACCAGAGACCAGTGAGACCCATGAGGAAAAGGGATGCTGTGGGGAAGCAAGTGTGGAAGCAGAGTGCCAGCTGGGGAGCTAACACATTGTTTGGGTATGAAACGATGTTGGCTTGGATCAATTGAAGTACAGAGAATGCTAACTGAATAGGACATGTTCATGCCTATCTGAGGTCCCCAATGTCTCATGGAGTCACTGGAGGAGAGCAAGATCTAAGGCTCTTCCCCCTTTGACCCTAGTTCATGGCAAGATCCTGGTCTCTAGTCTTCTAATCCATGAATGCTTCTATTCCTGGTGTCTTAATCTTATATCACTGCTTTTGTTAATGCCAGTTTTTTTTTTCACTCCAATAAAATTATTTAAGAGGGTTATTGAGAAGGTTCAGTGGGTAAAGACACTTGCCACCAACTCTGACAAGCCAAGTTTAATGCCCAGACACACACAGTGGAAGGGGAAACTATTATCCATGGGTTAGTGCTGCACCCAGCCTTCTTTGGTGAAGCCTCTTATAGCAGTGGGTAGCAGTCAATACAGACAATCAGAATTGGTCAAAGAGTAGAGAAAAAGTGACTGCTGAGCCCTCAGTCCCTGGTCCCTGAGCTCAGAAAACATCACAGAAGGGGGGGTGGGGTGGCTGGAACATAAGAACCCAAGGTGGGTGGGTCACCTTCTAAACACGACAGGGCCTTCACACTCATGAGCTCACAGCGGAGCAGCTATAACTGCCTGTCCAAGACCTACACAAGATAAAACCACCAAAAATCCAGCATGAACAGCCCCTCCCTACGCTGAGGGCTTATTGGCAGTTGGTGGCTTCTGGAAAAATCAATTTCCTTCAGGGGGTGAGTGCTGGTAGGTTTCCCGTGCTCCAGGGTCTGCCCTACATCCATGGGCATGCAGGTCTGAGGGCAGGGGTGAGGGGAATAAGGGACATCATCAAGATGCATTATATACACGCATAAAGTCGTCTGAGAGTAAAGATTTTTAAATGAAAAAGAAAAGAATCTGTGTTTGAGTATACCTTTGTGGCCATCATTTTCCTAATTCGGTTTCCCCTCAGGTAGCTCCATATGGCATCGTTGCCTTGGGCACACACTGCCATTGGAGGGTCTTCCATGGGGTTGTTCATCAGGGTTAGAACCTTGAGGTTCACCAGGTGGTCCAGGTCCTCCGGGAGGTGGGTGAGTAAGTTGTCCTCCAGTAGCAGCTCCCTCAAACCTACGAAGATTTTCATTTTCATTGGTTGGTTTAGCATAGGATCGCCATGCCCAAAGTCGCCCAGGTGAGATACACTGGGTAGTGGCTGGAGAGGAGGGAGACACCAGATTCCTGGCGTCTGATACCATCAAATCAAACGCCTCTCTGTGTCTGCTCTTCCAGCACATAAAGAGAACCCCGCCAGCACTCAGCAAAGACTTGCTAGATGGGTGGGCAGACGGATGGTACGTGGATAAAGAGTGACTCGGCCAGGCAATACTTGAGTGTTTAGGAATCAAGTGTAATTGTTTTTCTCCAAGTCGATCTAAAAATTCTAAATATCCCCTGATCTCGTCATTCTGGGTCTTTCAAATGACTTAGTGATCGAGATAAACATTTACATCATAATTACATAAACTTGCATAATTACATAAACAAAATTACATAATTAAATAATTACACAAACTCTAAATGCTGTCGTATCTCATGTGTTCAGTCGATTACTGCTGGCACTGGGGTAATGAAAGTAAGTATAGATTTATGCTAACTTTCACAGCAACCACTATTTGCTTCTCTTTTTCATTCAAATGTATAGTGTTTATAATTGTTATAATAGCTTATAAATACCTTTGGAAGATCTTAGCTATACAAATATAGAGGCACCTGGCTTCCCTCGGGTGGCTAGAGAGCCTGTCAGCGGCTAATGGTACAGGACTAAGCCCTACAAACTCTAAAATTGGTCTTTCTTAAGGCAAGGCAGTCATTCATGAACAGTGTGTGACTCATCCTGCTGGGCTGTGGACCTGGGAAGTTCCTCACCTTGTGCATGGCAAATGGCATCCGGCAGTTCCTTGAGAAGATTATGCCGACAATCAAGAACTTCCAGGTTTGGCATTAACCCCAGGGATGCAGGCAGCTGCTCCAGTTGGTTGTTCTCTATATATAGTTCTTTAAGATTCTGTCATAACATGAGAGCGTGTGGTAAGGACACTCATCTTAATAAGTGCATTACAACAACCAGACTTACCTGTGAGTGCCCATTCATGTGCAGGAGGGAAGTCATGCCTTGGAACAATGGGAGAAGCATACTTGTTGTAGTTTGAATCTGAACTGTCCCTCAGGGCTTGTGTTTTCATGCTTACTCCCCAAACTGTGGTGCTTCCTGAAGCTGGTGGAACCTCTAAGTGGGCCTGACTGACAGAATACAGACCGTGGGAGGTCATACGTGGCCTAGCTTTGGCCTTCCTCACTGTTTCTTGGACTGCCAAAGTTAAGGACCCTCTGCCACACATATTCTTGCTGTCATAGCAAAGCCAGTCATGACGCGATGTCTTCCCCAGTGTGATGGACTGAAATCCCTCCCGTGTCAGCCCAAATAAACCATCCTTCCGTGGATGGTTTAGTGAGGTGTACTGGGTCCAATGACAAGAAGAATAACTAATAATATTTGCAGAGTTAATATCAAGAAAAACAATTGCTTTTGAATAAAGTCATTGGACTTACAGAGGAAATGAGAATACTGTGACTAAATTTTATCAGAACCTCAGGAAAAAGTAACTTGGATCATTACAGAATGTACCACTTACTCCCTTCCAAGAGCTAGTTATCTACAATTATAGTTAGCTATAATTCTTCAACTAAGTGCCCCAAATCATATAGGTTAAAATAGCCAAATTACACACAAGCTACATATAGTCATACTTTATCAAGGACACTACTGTCAATGCAGTTATCTTGCTAGGATTCAGCAGAGAACTATGAACCCATCATCAAATCGCCCATCACTAAACAAGAAAGCCAGGTCGCATCGCTTCCTGCAGGAAATCCTGGGTACCAAACTTCAGGCTTCCAATCATGTTACTCATCGGACACTTTAACTTCTGAACAATGCCATTTTCAAGGGGATACCTATGAAATATATAAATTAAATAGAAAATGGTATGAGTCAATTTCTACAACTAGAACATACCAAAATACGACAGTAGAAAGACATACCGAAGAGCCGCTGACACAGTAGTGATGTGTAAGTTATGGGCTAACCAATCAGTCTCTGCTAGGATTTGAGGCCTACACAGGAGGGAATGTGTACCTGGTACCACAAACCTGGTCAAAAGCCCATGGCTGGAGAGGTCCTAGCGCCAGTGAAGAAACTATTTCTGTAGTTTTACTGAACGCTCATGTTGTCCCCTGCCTTTATAATACTTCCATTTATACCCATAGATTAGTTCTGTCCTCAACCTTGGCCAGAGAAGTTTCTTTCTATGTTAGGCAGCAGTTAATGTGGAGACTCATAAATGGTAAAATGGCTGAAATTAAGTGGATTTCAAGTAGTCCATGTATGACATCAACAGTGATCCCATCAAACTCAGGGAATACAATAGCAGAGGATGTGAAAAGAAAAGCAGAAGGTGGGGTGGGATGCTGTGGAATGCTGTTTTCTGGACACGACATGACTTATGAACTAGGGGAAGCTGTGGTTGCCTGCACAAATTAAGGCACACAAAGATCAGTCAACATTCTAGCAGGCAGCAGTAATGGACACAGTCAGATTTTTAAAGAAAAAAGAATGGCCATGAAGGTTGGAAGGTATGCTGGCTAGTTTTATGTCAACCTGATTCAAGCTGGAGTTATCTGAAAGGAGGAAACCACAATTAAGAAAACGAGATCCAGGTGTAAGGCATTTTCTTAATTCGTGATTGATGGTAGAAGGCCTAGCCCATTGTGGGTGGTGCCATTCCTGGGCTGGTGGTCCTGGGTTCTATAAGAAAGCAGACTGAGCAAACCATGGGGAGCAAGCCAGTAAGCAGCACCCCTCCATGGCCTCTGCATCAGCTCCTACCTCCAGGTTCCTGCCCTCACGGCTTTTGACGATGAACTGTTATATGGAACTGTAAGGGAAATAAACACTTTCCTCCCCAAGCTGCTTTTGGTCATGGTTTGTCATCACAGCCATAGTCACCTAAGACTGAGGCAGGTGTTTGGGGGGAGTATCTTGCGGAAATAAGCAGGGAAGTTGAGGTGGCTGTGATCAAGATGCATTGCATATGTATATAAAATTGTCAGAGAATAAATAAAAGATAAAAGACATTGTCGCAGAATATTTGCTTACACTGTGAAGGTGTGTCTTTGCTAAGGTGCCTCTGATTGTTTTAATAAGAATCTGAATGACCAATAGTTAAATAGGAAGATTTTAGGTGGGACTTCCGGGGAGAGGAAGAGGGGACTCTGGGAAACAGAAAGGCAGTGGTACCAGATACACAGTGATACATAAAGGATGCAGGAAGTGCAGGACAAGAGGTAACAATCACGAGCTACATGACAGAATGAAGATTAATATAAATGGGTTAGTTTAAGTTCTAAGAATTAGTTAGAAACAAACCTAAGCTAAGGGCTGAGCTTTCATAATTTGTAAGTCTCCGTGTCATTATTCAAAAATAATTTCTTTTTTTTCTTTTTTCTTTTTTTCTTTCTTTTTTTTTTTTTTTTTTTTTTTTGGTTTTTTGAGACAGGGTTTCTCTGTAGCTTTGGAGCCTGTCCTGGAATTAGCTCTTGTAGACCAGGCTGGTCTAGAACTCACAAAGATCTGCCTGTCTCTGCCTCCTGAGTACTGGGATTAAAGGTGTGTACCTCTACCACCAGTCCAGAAAAAGAATTTTTACAAGACATACTGAATAACAATCACAGTAGAGTATTATAGGGCTTACTCAGGAACAGTGAGAGCCTCAAAATGTGAAACCCATGGATGGGACTGGAAATCTAAAACAGATGCACATTTTATGCAGTGTTGGAAACATTGCCTGGAGCTCTCTCGGCATAGGCTGTAGGGGAGAGCAGTATGCACTTCTTGTCTGTTCATTGGGAGGGCTTACCTGCAATTTCTTGATGTTTTCTGGCAGATAGGTAAACTTGGATCCCTGGTCTTGTCCGATGTATAATTTCTCCAGAGACACTAAGGAAAAGATTTCCTCTGGGAAGGATGAAAAGTCATTCCCTGTGAATCCAAGTATCTTCAGTTTTGAAAGTGAGCCCATGGTCGATGGTAACTGGAAGTATTCCAGAAAGCTACGGTTAAGGCTGAGACTGGTTTTAAACACTCAAAAATCAGTTTTCTGGGTTGTCTAGCGGTAGCGGGCGATCAGTACTGACATTAGTGTCACCCAAGTTGTATACAAACTCACAGTGCTCAATTTAACAGGGTTTATGGTGAGAATTTTAACGTTGAGCTTTTGGCTTTGAAACAAGTTGTTAAACAAAAAGTAGAGCTGCTTAGTGTCCCCTAGTGACAAACAGCTTTCATACACATTTACATGTGTACTATGTAATTTACCATGTATGTTTGCCTATTAGTAGTCTGGGGTTCCACCTGTTTCCTGTTGAGGCAGGCAAGTATAGGACAGTATTCGGTTTGGGGTTAGCAACACCCCATCCTCCTCTTGGAATAATGCACTAGGTCTTTCGCCTGTGCACAAACAATGCAAGCTCAGAGCCCCCCTGGAACTCCCACATATGTCAGGCTATGTGTACTCACATCTCTGAACGAAAGCACAAGCTGCCCTGTGCTGGTGGCAATCCAGTTCTGATATAGTATCTTTTCAAGCATATTCCCAGTGTATTCAGGCATGACGAATAGATGGGCCAATGCGGTCTCAACTAGATAGGGGCGCATGTGCAGTAAGGCAAAATTCTGTTCTCTAGTAACCTTTAAGGACAGTCTATTTACTATCTTATGTCTATGTATAATTAGGTGAGGACATGATTAAAACTAGATGCATTATAGGAAGGACCATATATAGCGGGAAATAAATGAATATATGACCTAATCTATCAATCCAAATAGGAAGCCATCCAGACTACTCCCCTCAGTGACGAGTCTCCCCTTCTCATTAACCCCACAGAATGAAGCATAGAACAGTGAGTGGGGCCCATGGGCATCCTTACTCAGGTGGTCTGCTATTGATCTGGACAGTGTATCTGTCTATAATGTGCGCTATCACTGTCCTTGAATAACATCATCTTGCTTCTTTTGAGAATTGGTTTGGAATCTTATTGTCAGCTCTTCAGATAAGAAGGCAAGACTCGAAGCACAGGGCCAGACTCAGGCCATGGGTAACGCTGCCACGGCTCTGCTTTCCACAACCTGGGTCATCTGATGTTGCTTCATTGTACCTGTGTTGCCTAGAGAATGTTTGATAATGTGGGAAGAAAGAGCACTACAATTATATGGAATGTTATAATAACGATAATCGTGATACAGTTATTTCTTGGAATTGATGCCCTTGGGGACACCTGGTTTTAGCTCCAGAAGTCTTTCATCCGACAGTTTTGAAACTGCTCTGAACTCCACTGGAAGCAGATCATGTTCAGAGTGTTCCTCGTTAGGATGCTCCCTGTAGATCCTGGGATCTGTCTCTTCATGTTTTGCCTCCTATTGCACACCAAGGCTTTTACACCTTATTTGGAAGTTACATTCTATTTTACAGACCACCAAACTTAAAGGAACGCCTTAAGCAGATTCTGTGTTCTAACCCTAACACAGTGCCTGAATGTGTTGCTGGCTCAGCTCTGCAGCCCTCTTCTCCTCGCCGCCTCCCAGACAGAAAAGAGCATCACCTTGAGTGGACATCCTCAGTAAGCTTATTATGTTTATTTATTTGTGTATGCGTGCCTGTGAACCTGTATGCTTCACAGTAAGTGTGGAGGTCAGAGGACAACTTGCAGACGTCAGTTCTGTCCTTCCACAATGTCCCCCCTGCCTCTCCGGGATCAAACTCAAGTTTCCAAGCTTGGCAGCAAACAGTTTTACCCAGTGGGCCATGTCTCTGGCCTCCATATTTGTAATTTTGTGCAGTTCAACAATGAATGAATGAATATATTATTTATCGGGGTCCCCCCCCATTCTATAAGCCTCACCATTTGCGTTGTCTCCACATGGACACGTACAGCTTCGGTTAGCTTACATTGTTTCTATCACATTCTATGAGATCCTGCAGCTTATCTGCCACCGACTTTCTAATGCTCTGCCGGTCTTCAGACGTGGTGAGCAATTCCACAATGCATCTCCACACCCATGGGACAGTTTCTCCAGAAAAAAAGAAACGAACTAACAAACAAACAAAGCCGAACCTGCTCTTCAGTGTCCTGGGGATGGAAGGTTAAGGACTAACGTATTTTCTGAGGCCAGGCTAAAGCCCATGTTTTATGGAAACTGTCGGTGGCCTGTGTTAGGAGGAGAGACCCTGGAGTCCATACCCTGGGCTAGAATCTTGGCACTCTGATCCTTACAACAACTCAGTTCGGTTTGGCCTCACAGTGATGCCCTTGAGAACGAAAACACCCCAGTGGCTGTGGCCCGCATCCTAAGAGAACACTAGATGGAGGTTAGAATTATCACTCGGAAAGGAAGAAAATAAAGAGCCACCTTGTGGAATATCTATCTTTGATAAGCCTGTTTTCGTTTGTTTGTTTGTTTGTTTGTTGTTTTGGCGGTAGCTGGTTCAGTATACTGGCTGAACATAGCGCCACATCAAGGAAAGGCGAGCAGAGTGACAGCGGGAAGGAAGCGGTACCTGTGTTATTTTGTTATCATCCAGCGCCAGGATCTCCAGGTTCCTGAGCGAGCAGATCTGCGCGGGGAAGTGGTCAATGTGGTTCTGACTAAGATCCAGAAAGCGCAGGTTGGCCAGGCGCTTGAAGGAGCGCCGCAGTCCATGCAGGCCGGTGTTGCTCAGGTAGAGCAGGTTCAGCGCCGTCCAGCGGCACAGGAGGCGGGGCACCTTCTCCAGGCGGTTCCCACTCAGACCGACCTCTTTGAGCTCCGTGAGCAGCTCCAGGGTGGGCGGGAGGACGTGGAGGAGGTTTTGGGTCAAATCCAGCACCGTCAGCTTGTTGCACCGGCTCAGAGACTCCGGTAGAAGAGGCAGGTTGTTAGACGCCACGTAGAATTTCTGTAGCCTCACCAGGTTCCCGATTTCATCCGGGATGGCCTTAAGCTTGTTGTGGTCCAGATCGATCACCTCCAGGTTGGAAAGGGCACAGAGGACGCCAGGGAAAGCTGAGAACTGGTTGTGTTTCAGGTAGATCTCCCTGAGCTTGCTCTGGTTCACGATCTCCTCGGGCAGAGATTCCAGGTGATTCCCCGACAGCCCTAACAGCTCCAGGTGGTGCAGCGATTTGCAGATCACGGAGGGAACCTCTCTCAGGCCGGCTTGGTAGAGCCGCAGCTCCCGAAGCGTGCGGAGGCAACTGAGTACCCGCAGCGAGGCGTAGAGCAGCGGGTTGCCGCTCAGGTCCAGCGACTCCAGGCTGCTCAGCGACCCCAGCTCCGGACACAGACTTTGCAGTTTGTTCTTGTGCAGGTAGAGGACCTTGACATTCTTTAAATTCTGAATGTCCTGGGGAATTTCTGAAATCTGGTTGTTCTCCAGATGCAGTTCTTCTAATTCTTTCAGTGCCAAAATCTCTGACGGGATGGTTTTCAGACCCTGGTTGGAGCCATCAATGAAATAGGTTCTATCAGTGACCCGCTGGGTGTCATTTCTCTGTAGAACCTTGGGTAATTGTTCTGGTTTCAGTACTTCTCTTGATGAGACTTTTAAGCTAAGTTCCATGATCCCGAATCTAAAATACTGTGAAAGGGAGGGAAAAAAAACAAAAACAGATTTCCCTGACAACCAGATTTAATAACTGGGCACGGGGGCGATGACGGCGACGGGCAAATGGTTAAATGCCTGAAATAATTTTGCAGCACAAAATTTATATTTTCTTGCATTTCATGTTAGGTTAAGAGTTAAAGCGCAAACTCCTCTTTCTAGTAAGTTTGTGCGCGTGTGTTAACACCGATCACCTAATTTCATTCTTTTTTTTTTAAAAAAAAAAAAAAGCTCGCTTGTTTGGGGACTAAAGAAAAGGTTTAGCCTTTAAAAGCACTTACTGCTCTGGCAGAGAAACTCAGCTGGTGGTCCATCACCCAGTTGGAGGCTCCAGGGCAATTACAAACACTCTCCTGTCCTCTTTGGGCACCTGAACTCATACATACATACCTTCCCCCACCCCACCATATATGCATAATTTAAAAAAAAATCTTTCAAAACTGGCCACAGTGGGGACACACCATTAATCTCAACACTGGGGAGACAAAGGAAGGTGGATCTGTGTGATTTTGAGATCAACCTGGTCTACATAGTGAGTTTCAGGACAGCCAGAGCTACACAGTGAGACCCTATCTCGAAAACAACAGGATAAAAGAAACAAATTAACTTTTAAGATGCTTATTTTAATTTAGTCTCAGACGAATTGTGGAAATTTGCAAAAGATCATTGCTGTTGCCATTACCCCCTGAAGATACTGGGGAAATATCTATATTATATATCTTCATAAAGTCATCAGAGTTGTTACTGCAAATCAAGCTAAGGGGTGAAAAATCTAGGGCTCAGCCACTTTTTCTCCATAAGTGGAGGCCTGTGGTGTAGTGAGGGGCTGCAGGGCAGGCCTGCTTTTCGCCTCACCCGGCTCCCGCATGGCTAGCTTAACCCCAGAAATAATTACACATAAGTTGTATTCATTTAAATACTGCCTGGCCCATTATCTCTAGAGAGTTAGTTACTGACTAACTCTCATATCTTGATATTAACCCATTTCTATTAATCTGTATCACACCATGAGGTGTGGCTTACCGGGAAAGATTCATCATGTCTGACCTGGTGGCAGGCTCCATGGCGTCTGCCTCATTGCCCTCTTCCCAGCATTCTGTTCTGTTTACTCTGCCTACCTAGTTTTCTGTCCTATCAGAGGGCCAAGGCAGTCTCTTTATTGACCAATGAAAATAACACAATAGACAGATAACCCTCCTCCATCATTTCCCCTTTTTCTGTTTAAACAAAAAAGAAAGGCTTTCATTTTAACATAGTAAAATTACATATAACAAAACAGTTATCAAGCAAGAATTACAGTCACAATATTTATAACTATATCTTTATCATAATAATGGAAAACTATAACTATGACTATCCATTCTTCAACTCCATCAAAGACTCCATCAAAGGATATATTACCTAAGTAAACAAGAAGTAAGCAACTTCCAAAACTCTAGAAATGACAGACATCTCGCTGCCTGGACAGTCACCCAAAGTTCCTGTGTATCGTTGGGGCACCCATCTTTGGCCTTCAGGCCCATAATATCCAGAGACATTTCCATGAAGCAGGAAATTTCAAAGGCAGTTCAGTCACTATCTGCTGTGTCCTGCAGAATGTCTCGCAGACTCTTTCATGAATCAGGAACCCCGAAAGATCATCTCACCTTTAGGCAAGTTCAGCAGTCCTCTCTCTGCAGGTTCTCTGTGTCCAGTTTATACAACAGTCCAGGCAAGAGCAGTTTCTTGCCCAAAATGACTATCAAACTCCATAAGGAGCCTCTTCGATGCCCATCTTCCTCTTGAAATAGATTGGTGCTGCCAGGAGCAGACATGTCTCATTGTCATGAAAAGTCCTAAGTTATTAAAACATTAAATGCCATGTTCTGTAGTCTTTGAAAGATATGAATGTCTATCTGAAATATATCACTTCTAGAAAATCAGACTAACATTACTACAAGCTTGACTATTATCGATGATTATCCATTAACAACCTATATTTTTAATTATACATTGCATTTTTATATGAACTACACAATCAAAATCAGAAATATATACACATATAACAAAATTGACCTTAAAATCCATAACAAAGCAAATTATTCATATCTATATCACTGTGGGAAGTCTCCCTCCTGCCTGGTGAGGCTGGTAGACAGAGAAGCCAGCCTTCCGTAGGCGAACAAAAAGCCAACCAAGGGAACAAAACCATGCCTGGGATAGGAGAACCTGCCAAAGAAAACGATTTGTCAAGAGGGGCGGTTCCTTCAGTCTGGAGCACTCTCAAGGGCAGGGTCAGGTCTCCACTGGATAGCGCCAAGAGGCCTTTGAGGAAGGTGCAAACTGGGCGAAGAGGGATCTTAGACTCAGTCTTTCTGTGTCGCTTGCTCCCTGACTGTGCCATCCTGAAATACTCTTTGGGAGTCCCTGGCTCCAACGCTAGCTGAGGCCTTATTGCTTCTCTGGGGCTTCTGGGGGCTTTTTCAAGGCTCTGCTTCCGGACTAGACACTCCAAATTCTCCTTCCATCCGTGGATCTGCAATCGACACCTAAAGGTCTCTAACATCCTGCCGCACACCCTCACTGCCTTACTATAAAGAAGGTGCTCAGATTCCACACGGCTATGGCCTTGCCTGCCTCGATCATCTAGATACTGTCTGTACCTGTGCCTCTGCCGCTTGGCCCGGGGCGGACTATCTCAGGCTAGTCCGGAAGTCGCCTTCTCCAGGAAACCCCTCCAGGGAGCTTCATTCCTTTACAAAACCCTTTAAGCTACTATAACCCCGTGCCCTTCCCGCTTGAAGGTTCTATCACCAGATTCCAAGCTTAACCTTTCGCGTCCTTTTGCGGGAGGAGAGCTGAGTCACCGGGTTTTGTAGCCATGGTCCCTAGCCCAGCAGGGTAGGCTCCCAGCCCTCCAAGCTCTCCCTCGGTGTCTATAATCCAGAGTGGGTAAATTTAAGGTGAGTGATCATTGTCTAACTAGTACAGTGTGTCCCGCCCTCTCAACTGTGGCCCCGCCTCTTCCCCCTTCCTTCTGGAGGAAGCTCTGTGGTTGCCATGGGAGCAACTCGAGTTGCTGGCCGGGTAGGAGCAGGTTGAGAAAGTTCAGCCGGCCTTACTCTTCGGTGGTCCAGACCCGCAGGGCGAGGGGTAAGAGGAACCCGGCGTAGCTCCAGGCCAAACAAAGAGCGGCGGATCCCACCTGCAGAAGCCCCAGGTACTGGCAGAACTCTTGGGTGCCTTTGGCCGCCACCGATCCTCCTGACTTTGTAAGGAGGGTAGCAGAGTAGTATCTGCGGCTTTGCTTTTAGGGTCTGGGAAAGGTGGTGTGGTCTCTTCTGCGCCCCGAGTATGTGGAAGCCACAAGAAACCATCCCAGACAAAGCAGGAGGCTCCTGAGAGGTTCTTAGGTTCACATTTGTAGACCACTCACATTTTCTTTTCTTTTAATTTCTTCATCTATTTTCTTTTTTGATTTTTAAGTTAGCTTATAGAAGAAGGGGTTTCATCGTGATATTTTTATTCATACATACCATACTTCCGCATGCACTTGGAAAATGTCTGCATTCGTGAATTTAACAAATTAAGCATAAGGTTAGGGATGTACTCAATGAGCGTTTGCCTGGCACCCACAGAAATCAGAGCTCCTGCCACCACTTTGGCTTGGGATGTTTGTTTTAAAGTGTGTACTGGGGGTTGGCTGGAGAAAGGATAATAAGGGGAATAAGGTGACAAAGGGAGAGGTCCTGACACTGCGTCTTCTAGGGGTGGAGCCTGATGGAGCAGGACTGGGTGGGGCTGACCACCTGACTGCTCTGGTCCTGTACCCTACAGGGGAGAATAAGGCTGTTTGTTTTCCAAGGGTGCAACTGCTGCCTTCTCAAAGGTCCAGCTTAGAGATTCAACTCCTGTCTCTGCTGCCTGGCGCTTGTAGGAGCAGACACCAGAAGCGCTGGTATTCCATCTCAAGAAGTTGGTAGTCTGAGGAAAGCAGTTCATTGGGAGCAAGCCCTGTTCTGGCTTCTCTTTCTCCTAGGCTAAGAACAACTCATTGTAGAGTGTAGTTCCCCCACCCTCTGCGCCCCTTTTCAGCTAGGTTTCTAACTGAAGCCATAATTTGCCCATACCTCCTTTCAGACACCACAGTCCCCCCCTTTCTCGTTCATAGTCTGCCCCCCTTTCAGATAACCACAACCCCCACCCTCCGTCTGGTACACAGTCTGCCCAGCCCCCTCAGATAGTCACAGTCTTACCCCCTCCCTCTGGTGCATAGTCTGCCCCCCCTCAGATAGTCACAGTCTTACCCCCTCCCTCTGGTGCATAGTCTGCCCCCCCAACCACAATCTTCCCACCCTCTCTGGGGGATTTATAGCCTGTTTGGACCCCTCCCTTCATCCTAAGTTCTCTCTCTTTCTTCCTCACCCTTACTACACACACACACACACACACACACACACACACTCCTTTAAAAGAAACTTAGTTGTTGAAACTTCGGGGATAATTTATCTGTGATGATGAAGCATTTGTGTTTCCAGAGCTCCAGAGTCTATGGATAATCTCCAGGAACAGTACTGTAACTTTTGTTCAGAAAACATCCGGAGACCTAACCCTTTTATACTGGATATATTCCAAAAACTGGATGAAGAAATTAAAAGGGGGTAAGGAAGATAAATATTTAGTTGTATCAAAAGTACTCACTGACCCTCCTGTCTGTGAAATCCAGTGGCTTTATTCCTATTTGAAGATGGCTTGGTAACGTAGACATAGCTTTTGATTCAGGGAACGAGGTAGACGTGTAACAAACACTCTGAAGTCCCAGGTGCAGCATCTGACATTGGGGAGAGCCCTGGACCAGGGGTCCTCCAGCCAGAGTCCCCATAGTTATCTTGGTTCCTGTAGCTGGGAGAATTCAGGCAGATCCTTTGTTCTAGTTGATGCTCTTGTTCCTTTTGTTTTGTTTTGTCAACTTGGCACATTAGATTCACCTGGAAAGAGATGCCACAACTGAGAAAATGCTCCCACCAGATTGCCTGTACCAAAGCCAGCGGGGGTGGGGGGGATTTTCTTGATTAATGGTGAATGTAGAAGGGCTCAGCCCACTGTGGGCGGTGCCAGCCCTGGTCGTGTGGTCTTGAGTCATATAAGAAGGCAAGTCCTAAGGAGCAAGCTAGTAAGCAGCATACCTCCATGGCTCTGCTTCAGTTGCTGCCTCCAGGTCCCTGCCTTGAGTTCCTGCCTGACTCCTCTCAATATCAGAGTATGACCCAAGAGTTATACAATGAAATAAATCTTTTCCTTCCCAAGTTGATTCCACGGTGGTGTTTATAACAGCAGAAACCTAAAGTTTCTTCAAAATGTTTAATCTAAAGTGGGTTTGATGCTTAGCTTTGTCAACTTGACACAGTAGAGAATCACTCGGGAACAATGAGGAATTTTCTACATTTGGTTAGCCTATACCCACATCTATAGAGCATTTTCTTTTTTGTTTCTTTGTTTGTTTGGTTTTTGGTTTTTCAAGACAGGGTTTCTCTGTAGCTTTGGAGCCTGTCCTGGAACTAGCTCTTGTAGACCAGGCTGGCCTACAAAGATCCGCCTGCCTCTGCCTCCCGAGTGCTGGGATTAAAGGCAAGGGACACCACTGCCCAGCTTAGAGCATTTTCTTAATAAATTAGTTACTAGGGGTGGATGCAGCCCAGTGTGCACATCATCCTGTCTTAGACATAGTCCTGAACTGGATAATGTAATGCTCTGCCCTGTCCCTTTAAGGGAAAGCCCTGCCCACTCCCTACCCTGTCCACTGCCAAGGCATGCAAGTCTTCCTTTCTGCCTGCAGCCAGAGCCCCTTTTCTTTCATCTCTCTCCAAAAAAAAAAAGTAGCTGCTCTCATGGCTCCTCCCCACCCACCCCACCCCCATTTCTTTTCTTTCCTTGTACCCCTTCACTCTCCCTCTCCCCTTTCTTTCCAGAACCCACTAAATAAATATCCAACCTCACTCCGCATAGCATGCCTATCCATCTGTCTCTCACCACCAAATGGCTCCTGGCCACTCAGGGACTCCCTGCCTGGAAGTGGCTGCTCCCCCCCACTGCTGCCACTTGGAGACCTAGAGCCCCTTTTTGTTTTTACCTTTCCAAATAAGCCTGGAGAAACCAAGCTGAACTCATGAAACAACTGAGATGCGTGCATTATTTATTTCTATCTTCTCTTTTTGGGGGGTGGGGGGGTGGGCAGGGGTTGAAACAGGGTTTCTCTGTGCAGTCCTGGCTGCCCTGGAACTCACTCTGTAGACCAGGCTAGCCTCAAACTCTCAGAGATTTACCTGCCTCTGCCTCCCGAGTGCTGGGATTAAAAAGGTATGCACCACCACCGGCTTCTGTCTGCTCTTGACTGTGGGTATGATGTAACCAGCTACTTAAGGCTCCTTCCACTGCAAGTTCTCTTCAAGAGTAGATGACTTGGAACCAAATGCTGAAACCAACACATTCTCCCTTAAATTTCTTTCTCTGGCCCCCACTTCTTTTGTTTGTTTGTTTTTGTTTATTTCTTTGTTTGTTTTGTGAGTAAGGGTTTCTCTGTGTAGCTCTAGATGTCCTGGAACTTGCTCTATAAAACAGGCTGACCCCCAAATCACAGAGATCTGCTGACCTCTGCCTTTCGAGGGCTGGATTAAGTGCACCAGCTGGGGCAGTGGTGGTACAAGCCTTTAACCCCAGCTCTCAGGATGCAGTGGCAGGTGCCTGTGAGTTAGATGCCAGCCTGGAGAACCAGGAATACTCAGAGAAACCCTGTCTTGGGTACACTGAGAAACCATGTTTCGAAAAGGAAAAAAAAAAAAAAAAAAGAAGCATTCACCAACAGAGCCTGGCTCTTAACTTTCTTTTTGTGGGAATGTTTTATTACACGAGAAATAAAAAAAAAAAAACTGGACAGTGGGGTGTATGAGAGAAAGTAAGTGGTGGGGAATTTAGTTATGTTTAACTGACTTCTGACTTTTTGTGATACTTTTGTGATACTTTTCACATGTGAAGGGTTTTTAACTCTGTGTCAACATTGTCTCCTCCTCACTTTTCTGTCTTTTTTTTTTATTTTGACAGACCAGAAGAAGGAATTACATTAATTATTGCTGGTAATAACCACTTAGTCCCAACACAAAGAATGACAGGTGAAGATTTTTGGCTTCTTTCCAAAGTTTTAAGTAACCAGTCACATATTACCGGTACGATTGCTTAAGAATGAACAGCGTCTGCTTTTCATTTTCCTGATTTGAAGCATTCTTGATAAGGAACACCGGTTTCTGCTCCCCTGTGTGTTTCAGGTCTAGATGTGAAGTATAACCTCATAGGCGATGTTGGTGCCTACTACGCTGCAAAACTGCTTCAGGTATTACATTGCCACCAAACAGCCTCATCCGCCGTTCTGCTGAGAGGAAACCATGTAGACAGTGGTACACAGGCAAACACTAAGTATGGAAACACAGGACCCTAAGTCTCAGATGTATGTCTAATTCTCGGAAAGCATGGACATCCACTTGTGTTTGGTCTCAGGAGAGCTGATGCCTGGAGCTCCTGAGTTGTCTTTTGCAAACCTGTATGTACACCCTGGTTAAATACTCAAAGATGTCCATATGTTCAGTTGTTGGGGAAACTAAACTGAGTCGTTTCCTTTCAATGATATTGCAATTGCAGTGTTTGAAAGATGAGAGTTACAGAGAAATTCTGTCTCAAAAAAAAAAAAAAAAAGACGAGGGTGACTTGCCTTTGCTGGAATTCTGTTAGATTCTATATGGAGATACTTTTAATTAAATAAATTGTGTGCATCTATTAATTGATTTCCAGTAATAAAAATGTAATAGCTCCTTTCTCTCCTTTTAGAAACAGCCATGTATCACTTACTTAAACCTTATGTTTAATGATATTGGACCTGAAGGTGGAGAATTGATTGCTAAAGCACTACATGTAAGCATTTATATACCGCAAAGTTGTATTTGCTCTGTGAATTTTAACTTCTTGTAGTTTAGAAGCAGCATAACCAAAGTTAGTGTGAGTTTATGTTATTTCAGTTT